GGCATCCGCGGCCATAGCCCTCAACATTCCAGTAGTCACAGCCGTAGCCCTCGAAGGAGCCCTGATTATGATAGATTTGAAAGGCCTCGAGAAAGAAACATTGATGAGAAGGATATGACAGTTCCAGAATTGAAGGCTTCAGAACAAGAAATGTCTCCAATGTCACCAGGCACACATGGTAATGCATTTTCTGGAGCAGAGCTGCTGCCAGCCACTGGGAGTGCTGAGCCAGTGCAACAGGAGGCTACAGGAGATCCAGGGCTTCCTTCAGTTGCTGAAGCTTGAGATGTGAAACAATTTACTTCAGTATTTGAGCGGAGAATCCTAGTTTTAGTAATCAAATGGTTTTGGTGGCCCCGACTTGACCCATTGCTGGTTTCTCTGGGAATTGGTATGGTAGCAGCGACTTCAGGATCAGCTGCCTCGGTGAACAAAATCAATCAAACTTGTCGTATTTTGCATATTGGGTCAGAATGTTGCTTAGCTGAGCTTCAATTTGGCACCCTTTGCCGAAGGGTGAGTTCATCCTCATTTTTATCTCGCCATTGTAGAGACTATTATGAACGTCTTGTTGGGGGTATGATGTGTACTGCTTGGATGAGTTAGTTATGTGTTTTCATTTACTGACAATTCGTGAGTTGAATATCAATATTTGAAAGAGTTATCAGATTCAAGATAAATTCTTTTGTCCTAGTAGAATCAGCTTGTGGTTGTAAGATAACCTAACTTGAACAAATACCTATAACTGGAATGGGGGAGTGTCAAAGAGCGCGAGAAGTCACTATTTATGATCTGCTCAATCCACTCTTCCTTTGTTTTTTTTTTTTTTTTTTAACTATTTTGTTTCCCCCTGTATCCGAAACCTTCAAGGAGTGGCTGCGAGTGAGTATTTAAGATTAGGCTGTTATTGGCATCACGTGTATCTGCTATTGTACGCGTTTTGCATGCAGGGTTGATCTTTGGGTGGCAAGTCTATCAGCCAATTTTGATGGCCAGAGCCCTAACTTCGAAAATAACCTCCAACGGAACCCATGTGTGCTCGAGTACGGACATGAATTTATTATTGCAGAAAAAATACCCACTGAAGCTTCCGCATAGCTTCCATTTTAGAATCGAAAGGGCTGGCCTCCTACTTGATTGACGCCACCTTATGTTTTATACTGGTAAGATGACACCCCTCGAGGCTCAAAATTAAAAACTAAAAGGTATCAATAATGTTTTACGTAACAAGACTTTGTGAATTAGTTATTCTTAACAAAAATCGTTATTATGTGTAATGATGATATTTTTATTCTTAGTAGAAATCATTATTACGAGGGTAATATAGTTTTTTCGCAAGATGTATGAGTTATTTCGCAAAATGTATGAATTATCAAGTTGATTAGGAATAACTTATTTTTTTATATTTTCAAATTACAGTAAAATAATTAAATTACTTTTAAAAATAAAATTTATTTGACAGACCTCTTGGTACTTTTTTGAATTTTTCACATTTTATAGCATTGTAAAATAATTAAATTATTATTAAAAATAAAATTTATTTCACTAGCATCTAGGGGTTTTTTGTGATTTCATCATAGTTTTATATAGGGATATTTATGGATATAATGGGTTGGATTTTGACTCATGATTATATCCAATCCAACTTTTAATATTTTATAAAATATAAACACGACTTATTAAAAAAAAAGGACCCGATCAAGTTGAATGTATCAAATTGAGTTAAATATTTGCAGAGTTTACATATATCCACATATTAGGCATATTAATTTTTTTTTTATTCTTTGATGATCCTTAAAAACATATCAGATTGCAATTGTTAGAACTAGATAAAACTTCTAAAAGGCATATATTAGGAACAATATAAAAACTATCATAAATCCCATGTAAAAAAAATAAAACAAAAATCACAATTAAGCATTTCATTAAACAATTAGGGTGATATGATACAAAAACATATTAGCATGAAGCGATTATAGAGTGCTTTTAGATTTATAGTTTGACTAAAAAATAAAAGTTGAATTTAAATTCTTGAAATTTTTATTTTTATTTTTAGTTTTATGGTCTCTTGGTTATCAAAAATTAGAATAGTAGAATATATTGTCACTTCATTGTATCGAACCTCAAAGGAAACAATTATACTTTATGTGAATGTAGAAAATAAAGAGAAAGGAAAGAGATTAAAAGAATGAGAGTTAGTTATTACAGTGAAGGCGAAAAAGAAAAAAATAAAGAGAGGGAAGGAAAAGTATTATTTATATCAAAGATTCAGGTTACTTATATTGGGTTGTATAGATGGGGTTAAATTGAATGGGTTTCAAAAATCTCAATATATATTCGACCTGTAATATTTATCTATTAGGATTTTTGCATTATTTATCTTTAATGAGCTAGGTTAGATCAAATAATGCAAATATTATAGATGAGCTAAAATTTTTAAACACCTTTGGTTTTTTGGTTGTGATCAAGCTAATTGAGAGACAATTTAGTATTTTAATAAATATAAAATATTATTTCAAAAGAAATTGGTTAGCATGTGTAATTGTGTGAGATGTTTCTACAATATTAGGAGGAGTGTGAGGGGTTCAATAACTAAACAGTAACTTTAAGGGTTGCATTTGAGACGTCTTGACAACCCCTTCACCCCTAAGCATCATGTGTGGCTTACTACCTTCAGTTTAGCATCAACAATTATTTTCTCTTTTTTCTTTTCTTTTTTATCTCTTCCTTGATATCCATGTCCGACCCTCCAAGTTTTCAAAGCAACCCTTTAATTTGTTTTTTATTTTATTTATATTTGGTTATTATTCTTTTGATTACTATTTATTTTATTTGAATAATCAATTTTTTTTTTCAAATTCATCCTCTTTCAATTCGTTCATTTATCAAATTTGGTTTACATTTTTTTAATTGTTACTTGTTTTATTTGAGATGATTTTTAAAATTGATTTGGCTTTACTATTTCATCTTCCTTCTATTTTTTTTCCTAACAAATATTATCCTTTTTTTTACTACTTATTTTTTTGACTTTGGCAAAAAAAAACTAATTGATTGTTTTTTAATCTCTTTCTTGAACATCAAATTGGTTGAGAATTAAGCTTTTTTGTTGCTCTCAAGTTTAAGATTTTATAGGTTGTGAGCTTGAGAGATTAACTTAGGTTTATGAGATTCACTTGTGTTTTTTTTCTTTCTAAACTCATGTTTTTTAAGTTTCGTTGTTCAATAATTATTTAACGGGAGATTAGGCTTTGCAAATGTTTTTATTTTCTTTCTATAGGATATTTTATTGATTTTAAAAATGACTCAGGTTATTTTAAATATTTTTATTTGTTAAATTTATTTTTTAAAAAAGAAACTTTGTTTTGAATTTGGTTGAATTAATTTATTAAATATAAACATAATATGTTCACTACATGATATTTTATTTGGTTTGCTTTTTATGAGTCATTGCTTTAACGACGTGCAACATTTCATAACCATGTTATAACTGTCTTGGTGAGCTTTTGTTGGTCGTGAGATGATATCGATAGCATCACGACGACGAGTCTCCAACATACTTTTTTTTTTTTCTCTCGAGAATGATATTGACAGCTCATTTTTTATAGTTAATTTATTGCCAATTTTTTTATCAACTTTATTTATTATTATTTTTTTAATTATATTATTAAATTAATCAAACTTATTAAACTCATTTCAGTCAATGAAATAGGTCTCAAATTTTATTGCTTTTTTAAAATCATTAGCGTTGCCTAAACATCTTTTTTCTAGTTGGGAAAATTTTGACTTGGCCACAACATAACACGGGCCACTTGTCCAGCTAGTATGTTCTAAAAGCATTTAAAAAACATATTACAATATTTTTTGTAGGTGTAACAATGAATTTTTTATAAAAAAATGCTAAAATTAATACTAAGAAAATAAAAAAAATCATGTGAGTATAAAATTTAAATAAAACAATCTACATGTATAGCTGAAATTCACAAGGGTGAATAAAAAATTTATTGAAGGATCAACTAAATTTTAACATGATTGTATTGACATTGTATTTGTTTTGTAAAACCTTTTATTTTAAACATTTTTTTTAATACACGTGAGATAAATATTGAAGATATAGATATGAATAAAAAATTTATTATACCTTTTAACTAAGTTTTTTTTTTAGTAAATTTTATTTAAAGATATAGTTTTTTTTTTAAGGAACAAATAACATAGAAAATAACCAATCATACTTTATAAAAGTACAACAAAAGTTCAGTTTGGTTTAATCTTGATGCAATTTTATTATTTTTTGAGGTTTTTTTTTATCACATGGGATATGGATAGAAATTTAAAACATGAGTACAAACATAAATTACGAATTATTTTGTTTAATATTAGCAGTAGTGGTAAAAAAATAAATAACAAAAACAAATTGTGAATCTTTTTGTATAAAGGGTAAAAATAACCAACAATCTCGTAGGAAAAAAAAAATCAAATATCTAATTTAATAATTTGATAAATTTTAATGTATTTTATTTTTTTTAGATTTTAATTCTGGCTTTTGTTGATTTACTTCTAAGCATTCTTATAATTTTAATGTCAAAATAAAATATACATTAATATATACTAAAAAAACTTGGCATTTCACCGTAACAATAAACAATAAACAATTAAAAGTTAAGCCCTTTTTTAACTTGGTTCTTGAAAATTTTGAGGATTTTTTTGCTATATTTTTTTAAGCTATCATTTAATATTTAATTTATTGGATATTGAACTCCATGATTTATTTTAATTTATTTTCCATGGATTTTTCTAGTCTCATAACCTAGATCGCGAGCTTCGCAGGTTAGGCGTGTTATCTTAGTTTATTTTTTTTATTTTTTCAACTAAGTGTTTTATCGATTTTATCATTCAATATTGAGTCTATTAAGAATTAAAATTTATATATATTTTTAATTACTTTTATGAAGTTGTCCTGGAGTCCTGACGAGGATTTGACAAGTTAACTTGGATTAACTCAGGTTATTTTTTTATTTTTTTATTTAATTTTTCAATAATAAGTTTATTTAGAATTAAATTTCATAATTATTTTTAATAAAATTATTATGGTTTTATGATTAGGTTGCAGGTTAGGCCAATTGACTTGTTTTTTCTTTAAAAAAAAATTATCATTCAATATTGAGTTAATTTGAACTTGATCTTTATAATCTGTTTTGATTTGTATTCTATAAGGTTATTCTGATATCATGAGCGGGGACATGAGTTTGGTTGATTTACTTATATATTTTTTTATTTCATTTTTTAATTATTTTTTTTAAATTACATCATTCAACATTGAGTTAATTAAAAATTGAGTTTCATATTTTATTTTGATTTGCTTTTTATTGGATATCCTAATCTCATGACCTGGATTTGATAATTTGCTATTTATTGGGCATCCTAATCCCATTTGGGTTTGATAAGCCAACTTGAGTTGATTTGACTTATTTTTTAGTTGAATTTTATTTTCAATTTCATCATTTAACATTAGATTAATTGAGTTTAAGTTTAATAATTTTTTTTTCTTTCTATAAGGTTATCTAGGTCTTATTATTTGAGCCATAAATATGGCAAATCAATCCAAATTGATCCGATTTGCTTTAATATGTTGTTATTAAAAATTTTAAAGAAAAAAAGTTATATTTAAGTCGATTTAGACTTGCAAAATCAATCAA